CTGCCCCTGGGTCTCAGTTGGTCTGGGGACGGGACATGGCAGGGCGGCTATGAGTCAGATCAAAAGGCTTTGGTCCGTGGGCTATATCTTGCCCTCCCTGAAGTAGAGGAAAGTTGATAGCAGAGCGAGGCTACCACTAGAGGGTCCCTCCACCCCCGTTTTCTCCCCATATTTGCCAAGAGTGAGAGTGGCTAAGTGAGAATGCAGCTGGAGCAAGGAGCTAGACTGATAACTACAATGGGCTACTGAGGTGAGCTATAGGATATTGGACTGCCACTCCCCTGGTAGGGGAGAGAGAGAATAGCACATAGCACAGCCAGAGGGCAGTGCCCAGAAAGAGGATGCCATGGTCCAGGGAGAGATGTGGGCCCAGAAGTAAAGTGAGGTGAGACATCATCAAAGGAGATCGCCCTGTGTGAGGATGGAGCTAATTCTCAGGACATCCAGTGGGAGAGGCCATGGGGGCAAGAGGTGTGTCCACCTTACCATAGTGACTACAACATCCTACAGTGCAAATAGTGGCTGCTTGGCTGCCCTGTTTCTGAAACTGCAAGTTTAAAATGAAAGCTGGTTATCAGTAGTTTGGTATCAGTGAATTCAGCCAACATGCAGTTTCTTTATCTCAAAGAAGAAAAAAACATGGTTCTGTGTAAGAATGTTAATGACTAGTCGACTATCCGATAAGCCAATGCTTATTGTATAGCCGAGTTGACTAGTTGATTCCCCTCCCTCCCTTGCTGCCTCTGTTAGATAGAGGCAGCAAAGACAGGGGAAGAGTGGGTACTTCAAAGCGGCAGTGCCGCACAGAGTCCGTACCCGGTGTCTGTGCGATGCTTTCGCTTTGAAATCCCACAGTGGCATTTCAAAGGCACAGCACCGCACGGAGCCCAGGGTTAGCTCCGTGTGGCGCTGCTTTGAAACCCTCGGTGTTTCCAAAGGGGCAGCACTCCACAGCTGAGCCCGAGATCAGCTGTGTGGCCCAGCTGATCCCAGGTTCCAGTGCAGCACACAGAGCCCTGGCTCAACTGAGGAGTCCCTAGCTGATCCCGAGTTCTGAGGCTATGTCACACAAAGCCCGGGGTCAGCTGGGGAGTCCCCAGCTGACCTGGGCTCTGCGTGGTATTTCAAAGTGGCAGCGCAGCATGGAGCCTGCGGACAGCAGGGGACTCTGAGTCCCCTGTTGACTCCGGGCTCCATGAGGGTGCTTCCGCTTTGAAATGCACAACAGCTTCTGCTGGGGACTCTTGTACATTTCAAAGCTGGCACACTCACATGCAGCCCGGAGTCAGTGGGACTCCCGTTGGCCCCGGGCTTCATGTGGAGTTCCGCATTCCTCCTTTGAAATGTACAAGAGCCACAGCGGGGGCTCTTGTATAATGAAAGGAAGAATGCCGACGTGCCTATCGACTAGGCAATGGAAATTCCATTGGCTACTTGACTAGTAAATTACTCAATATTTAACATCCTCACAAATTGATCCTATGTCTGCAGAATTCATGTTAATGGGAGTATAACCACCCCACATCATTGGTATGATTTGCACATAGTTAAAGCAGATGTCTTAGGAACCTTCTGAAGGGAATATCATGGATATCATGTTGACTTACACATCCAGCACACAATAAAATACAATTAGTATTTTTATTTATAAATAAATGAGATACTAGTAACAAAAACATTACAGTTGAAATAAAAGTAGCAAGGTTGTACACACTGTAGATATTGTCAATGTATCTGATTAAAAAGTAACCACGTCTCAGTAACTGACGTAAGCATAATATCTTAATACTCATAACCTAGCAGCAGAAAAACTTATCTCATGATTTAGTGAACTGTTTATTAATTGGATTTCAGTTAGGAGCCTGCAATTCTGAATCTAAGGCTATATTTGCTGGTAAGAGAAGCTGATGCAAGGAAGAACAAATGGGACAAATAATTATGCCTTTTTTACAAAAAAAGGCTGTTAAGGACTAGTCAATTCATCTATGAAATAGAAGCAGCAGAGCAGGAGAAAGGGGGTACTTCAAAGAGATAGCACCACACAGCTGAGCCCGGGCTCAGCTGTGTGGCGTTGCCCCTTTGAAGCACCAAGGCGGCATTTCAAAGTGGCGCTGTGGAGCCCAGGATCAGCTGGGGACTCCCCAGCTGCCTCTGGGTTCTGGGGAAATGCCGCATGAAACTTGGGGTCAGCTGAGAAGTCCCCAGCTGATCCTGGGTTCTGCTGAAATGCCATGGGGAGCCTGGGATCAGCTGACCCCTGCTCCGCGTGGCATTTCAAATCCCCTCTGAGGTCCCTGCTGACGCCGGACTTCATGCTGTGCTGCGGATTTGAAATGCACAAGAGCCTCCCACTGAGGTCTCTTGTATATTTCGAAGCTGGCATAGTACGTTCAGTCCGGAGTCAGTGGGACTTCCCCCTGACTATGGGCTGCATGCAGAGTTTCGCATTCCTCCTTGAAATGTACAAGAGCCTCTGCCGGGCTATCGACTAGTCAAGTAGTATTGACTAGACAAGAGCCTATCGACTAGTCAAGTAGTAGATGGAAATTCCATCGACTACTCAACTAGTCAGCTAAGCAATATTTAACATCCTTACTTTACAAGCCACTGAAGTAAGTCAGAATTAATTTTTTTTTATTTTTGTTTATGCAAAATACCAGTACAGTGAAATCTTAGAGTGGTGTGATTCTATTTGTTGGCTGTCTATGCAAAATACCAGTACAATGAAATCTTAGAGTGGTGTGATTCTATTTGTTGGCTGAAATGTTTGGCTATAGAAATAGGCCTGTTTAAATGGAAAGGACAATTTTTTTTTTACACATTTGGGCCTGCAAACCAAAAAGTCTACCTTCCACAGTCCACTTTGGCTCGAGGACTGTTGCTATTCATGAACTGGACCATACAGTGGAGATAGTTGCCATCTAGCAAAATCTAGTATTAAAAAAAAAAGATGATTTGTGTAGTGATGCAGCTGCATTTGTAGATGATTTCAGATAGAATGTACATGAGAGCTGGTTCTGTGATAAATGAGGTGCTGGTTCTGGACAGGCCTGGCTGTGATCCAGGGAAGGGACTCTAAGAACTGTAAACTAGATTTATTTTTTGCTATGGTTGAGCTGACCATACCTAATACACCCACACATATCATGTACAGGCAGTCCCCGGGTTGCTGTGTATATACCTAATGCACCCACACATATCATGTAGCTGGTAGTGAACATGCAGTGAAGAGCAGTGATTTCAGTATAGTTGACACTGACGGTTTTTTTGTCTAACTCTTTAAGTCTACTTCTGTTTGACACACACTGTGACAAAGTCAACTGAGCTGAGTTTTGTTAGATTTGGTATCGATCAATTGCAGCACATTTCCAGCTTCACCATGATGAATATTGCTGCTACAGACATTTCTGTAGGCCTATCAATAGAAAGCGTTGTTAGATTTGGTATCGACCAATTGCAGCACATTTCCAGCTTCATCATGATGAATATTGCTGCTACAGGCATTTCTGTAGGCCTATCAATAGAAAGCTCCTTCTGTCACTTGAGAATCCCTTTTTGTTTCTTCCATATAACTAGAGATGAACCCAAGAGACAGAATTTGGATCCAGATTGTGAACATTCTCCAAACTCTGGGATGCCCTCTCCAGCTGGAACTGCGTCTTTTAATTAAGTGGAACGGTGCATCTCTGTCAGCATTCTCTTCTAACTCAGGTTCATGAGAAGGACTCAAGACGGCACGGTGCTGGAAGAAATAGGTGAGGGTAACCCTGTGCCCTTAGTTTAAGGGGCAGGAATGGCATTCTAGTAGTATAAATTGCTTTAATGTAAACAGTTAGCAATAAAGTATGGAAGTCACTGGACGCTTGCTATCTGGGAAAGAGGACATGCATGGGACACATTCCACCCAACTAAATCTTTATTTATGCAAAAAGTTTACATGGGGTCAACAGCTGCAGCCAGCAACAGGGAAAAAAAGGTTTGAATGTAGATAACAGAACAAAGGAAGCTTAATGTTCATGTTATCAGATACCTGTATTCCATTCCCACTAGCCTGCTCCACACTTAAAAAAAAATGCTTCAGAAATTTTATAGAAATGTTTTATTTTCCAGAAAATAAATACATCACAAATTTACAATACACAATCCCACTCCTGTTATTTAATAAAAAACAATCTCATGCAAATATGCTACAGAGAAGGTACTTTCACTCCTGTACACAGCCATTAAGCCAGCTTTAGAACTTCTTCACTGTAGTACCAAATATGAGCTAATTTTATGTTTTTCTACATTGTAATGTATTCTTCACTGTAGTAACCACCATTTTTTGTAGAACCAATAAAACTAAGCCTGCCGGAAAGAACATTTCTACAATGGTAAATACTTGGTTGGGAATGGCATGTGACATCACCAAAAAATAGAGCACGAGGAAAAGTAGCATCTTTCTGATCAGGAACACCTCTTCCTTTGCACTAGTGTTGCCTAGCAAGTTAAGACCAAAGGTTCCGATTACCAGTGGATAAAAGAAGTATTTCAAATCACACTGTAAAGCGCATATTCTCTTACTGGTTCTTCTATTACTAGAATATTCTAAAGGGAGTTTCAAGAGGAGGAAACTTTTATAGAAATAATGACCCCAATGCTCCAGTTTGCCGCCCTCTAGCATCACAAAGTTGCCCTAAATGTAGCAGATCTAAGTACAGGAGGATTTCCTCAAGGCAGGGAATGCTTCGCTGCTGGAGTGGCCCTTTAGGGTTATTGGCAAAGGGCATAACTTGCATCAGTCTTAAGGCTGCTCCATTTCATGCTAAGCTTGGACCTTTGAACTCTGTCTTTGTTTCATGCATTCTACAGAAAACAGTATGGCAGCTTCTGTTTTTCTTTTGTGCCAAAGGGCCCGTGTAGACAGCTCAGATTTGTTTTGCGCAAAAGCGCGGCTAGATTGGCACGGACGCCTTTCCGCAAAAAGTGCTTTTGTGGAAAAGCATCCGTGCCAATCTAGATGCTCTTTTCCGCAAATGCTTTTAACGGAAAACTTTTCCGTTAAAAGCATTTGCAGAAAATCATGCCAAGCCCCTGTGTAGCGTATGTGCTGAAGGAGTTTCTCATCCCCAATTCCTTCCATTCTGTACTTCAGACTGCACCCCCTGCTGGTGAATTTGCAGATCTTTTGTTGTAATAAATTGGTACTGCTGCCAAATAATAAAAGGATTTGAATCAAACTACTGTACTTTTTGGTAGGCAAACCACAGGAACAGGTGTTCTTACATTACGAAGCACATTTAAGGAAACAGTGTATTTACCCTTGAAATAAATTAAAAGCTTTCAAAATTGTGACTGGATAGTGATTAACTCGATTATGGCAAATGTATGCTTCTGAAAGGGGCCCAAATGTGAAGTTATTGTAGGTTCATTAGAAAATGTTGATGGGGCTCTGTAGAAAACTTTATGGACTGTCCACAGATAACTTGAGAGGAGTTCTCTAGTTATTTTGAAGTAACAAATGGGAGAAATTTCATTTTTCTGCATAATTTCTACAAGTGAGTATTAAAGATCCCTTACAGATTATCTGTCTATATGTTCTATGAAGGGTCAAGCCAAGTCTAAATGGGCCCTATAAAACTTGTCTGTAGCATCAGCAGCTTCCTAAAGATAGAGCAGAAGTGAAAAATAGACACTAGAAAAAAAGATGTTTAATTTTTTTTTTAGTTTAGAAAACTGACTGTAGAGTACTCTCCTTCCATTTCCTAGTTTTCCCACTGCAATTTATCTAAAATGGTGTGTGAACACCAGAATCATGCTCTCTAAGATTCTTCTTTCCTCTGCTGATGGAAGAAATCCATGGAGCCACCACTGTTTTGTAAAAGAGGGAAAATGGTGTACTGAAGGCATGAGATTCCTTAAAGTTACATTACCTCTCTCTCCTAGTCTGCAGAAGGGCCTCCTAAAACAATACATTTGATGGAGTTTGAGATAATGAAGACAAACTGGCGGTGTCAGAATTACCTGTCATGGAGCCACTCATGCTCCTGAAATACCTGCTGCTCAGCCAGAGTGGAAGACAAAGCGTTTTCCACAGATCAAACCTCTTTCCTATAATATCTTCTTTTCCACATTTTGAAGGACAGTGAAGAAAGTAGTAACTTTCTGGTGCACTTCAGGAACCCATACAACTCCCTGGTTGGGAAGGATGGTCTTCTGAGTAGATTACATTTATTTCATGTCCATAACTTTATTGTAGATACTATTAATGTTGGAAATGACCTCCCAGAAGCAGAATAAGGATTAGGAGAAACAACTCTCAAAATATACTTTCCATACTCTGGTCAGATATCTCAATTTTTTGGATCTGAGCCATGGAGGTCCCTGCCATGGATGTCTCAAGTCCTGATGCCTCAGTTTCAGGTGTCTTTCCTTCTGGTTGGTCCTTATACCCTAGTTCGCCTTCATTGCTGGTGTTCAGAGCTTCTTCCTTCTTGATGTTAGCCTCCAGAGGGAAGCAGACTTTCATACAGTTCTTTGCCAAATCTTGTACCTCCAGGTGAAGGGTTTTCACTTTATCCTCATACTCTGCCAGTGCCTCTTTGTGGAGCTGCAAAGGGGGGGGAGGGAATTAGTCACTCAGTAAATGAGGCATGTGTCTTGGTATCACACTCAGAACATGAGAGTGGCAATGTAAAGGTCAATCCAAACTGGGTTTGTATAGATTTCTTCATTTGAAAATGAATTTAGTACTGGTGAGAGGGCTGGGTTTTTAGCAGTGGAGGCTGACATTCTTTAGCCACAACACATACTTCAAGGCAGTGATGGTGTAAACTTCTCATCAGAACCCCACTATCTCACAATCTGTTTTGGGGAGCTCATCTCAGAGGGAGAGGGCTATTTATTGCCCATAGCTTAGACTTCTCTGGTGAGGACTTTAATTGCAGTGTGAATTATAATTGTATTTTTATTTGTACCACAATGTGTTGAGAATTGAACTATGCTCACTACCTCATTTCACATAGGCTACCAAGAAGCATTCCAGATGGTAACAGTTTTTGGTCTTTGCCAACTTGCATAGGTTGGAGCTTATGCAGTGACTTGGAGATGAGTTCTATATCCTCCAAATCATACCATTTTTCATTGCAATTTGCACAGCATGTGTATGAAATGGGAATTAATCATATGCAACATGTGTACATGAAACTGACATTTTTACAGGGTGGCATTATCAGAAGAAAGTTCAGTTGCACAGCATGTGTATGAAATGGGAACTAATCATATGCAACACGTGTACATGAAACTGACATTTTGCAGGGTGGCATTATCAGAAGAAAGTTCATAAAGAAGACTAAGTCTCACATTAAGTCCTGGATTTACTAAAGCTAAATGATCATATTAAATCCTGGATTCTTCTTTGTTGTTACCTGGCTTTCTTTCTCCTTGATCTTTTCTAGACAATCTGACTGCTTCTTTTCCAGTATCTGTTGATACTTTTCCATCTTTTCTGTCATCTTCAAGGAATTAAAAAAAAAAAAAATCTAAGTTTTAAGAGGCATTTCTCAATGGAGCTATATAAACACTGCAGAGAAAATTCAGTAGGGCTAAAGCTGCATGTAACATGCTTATAAAGGGCATGTCACATCCCCCTGTAGCCCTGCTATTTCTGCCAGCTAATGGATTCAGAAGCTGGCGATGACCTATAATGACAGGGAGATCATTGCATGAGCTCATACTGTATACCATGGCTGTATCTGTTCATCAAACCATTGCTCCTCCATCTACTGTAGAAAGTGTGCTCAGTAGGGCCTCAGGTTTATACCCATGATTAGCTTTAAGCAAATGACTCATCCCAGTGATACTGGGACATAAAGCCATTTCTCTGAATACACATACTAAAATTTGTTTTTCCTACAGCATCCTACAAGTTGGCCTTGCAGAGACTTGAAGAAATCTCTTTTGCTATGTATTGTCTCCAGCTGACAGGACCTTTAATCCATGACTGTAGCTGTCTTCACACTATCACAGAAAACATACTCACTAAAGATGTGGAGTTGCATATATCTCGTGGATCCAGTGCAGTAGGGACTAAGTATCTCAGGGTACGTCTAGACTACAGGCTTTTGTCGACAGATACTGTTGACAAAGCTTCTGTTGATAAAAAGCTTCTAGACTACATCTAGTTCTGTTGACAAAGCAAGCCACTTTGTCGACGTGACAGTGTAGACGCAAATGACAGAGTAGATGCAATAACGCCTTCTGTCGACAGAACTCTGTTGACAAAAGGCGTTATTCCTCGTAGAATGAGGTTTACAGCCATCGACAAAACTGCTGAGTTTTGTCGACAAAAGTCCTCTTGTGTCAACAAAACCCTGTAGTCTAGACACACCTTCAGAGAACTGAATGTACAAACCAGTGATGCACACGTGGTATATATGCATGGAACCACCATCTTGGAGAGAACAAAAATGACACTTACCTGTTTGATCTTTGGCACCGCTTCTTGAATATGGGAATTATTTATTTCTCTCTTTAATCTTTAAAAATACAACAACAGCAGGTATTATTATAGTACATCCTGTTTATCTGTTATCTTTATCCAAGGTGCTAGTTAGTCAATGTCAGTAAAATTACCATAAATGTTCATGTTTAAGACCGGGCTGCTGGTGTCCAAAGAGAAAGACAGAACTGCATTTATAGCCTTGAAGGATATTTCACGCTGTATAAATGTGGTAGTGGAAGCACCAATTTGATAAACAGGCAAATAAAGAACACAGAAAATTATTGTAACATATAGGCTGTGTCTACATTGGTACATTCTACACTGGCCGGGAGTTCTTGTGCAAGAACACTGACGTTCTATTGTGTGAAATCAGGGCTTCTTGCGCAAGAACTATGATGCTCCCGCTCAGGAATAAACATTCTTGCGCAACAGGGCAGTGTAGACTGGTAACATGAATTTCTTGCTCAATTCTTGCGCAACAGGGCAGTGTCGACTGGCAACATGAATTTCTTGCTCAAGAAAGCCCGATGGCTAAAATGGCCATCGGAGCTTTCTTTCGCAAGAGAGCGTCTACACTGGCACGGATGCTTTTGTGCAAAAACACATCTCTTGCACAAAAGCACATGCCAGTGTGGATGCTCTCTTGCGCAAATACTTTAACGCAAAAACTCTTGCGTTAAAAGTATTTGCGCAAAATCTTGCCAATGTAGACGTAGCCATAGAGTATAAAGGAAGGTGGCACATAACATATGTTCAAGCTAACGATCATCCAAAGTACCTTACTAAGGTTATGAGTCTCAAACTTGCATTTGTATCTTAATTGAGATGAATAATAGATGCTCATAAATAGGCTCTAAAGAGAGGCTTTATGGAAGAGATTCTTTTGTGTCTACTCAGATGTTCTTTGCCACCAAAGTGCATGTGGAGGAAAGGAGTGTTAGGAAAAGGTTGCATTCCCAGCCCTCAGCTGAAAAATTGAAATAGCTGGAAGATCTTGAGGCTTCTTTGCTATATTAATGAGTGAGAGACTAGGACAAATAAGAGAGCAGCACCTTTAGGCTAGTGGAAAACACCAGATGAAGATACCAACCATACCAATTTGTGATAGGATCCATAGAGAGATTCTCCTCTGTGCAAGCAACACTGCTCTAATCAAGGTTTTCAGGCTTAAGAACTACAGCAGAAAGCTTTCATCCATTTATAATGACCTTGGGGGGCAGTTCATATAGACTCTTTGGGCTCAATTTTTGAGATCTGTTGAGCACTCACAGATCCTACAATCTTCAAAAGGAATTGCAGGTGGTCAGCTCCTTTCAGGATCAAACCATGTAAAGCTGTACTAGGTGGAGCTGATCTTCCAGTATACCATTACGTGTGTGGAAGGCCCTGCAGAACAGTGCGAGAGCCAAGTACAGACTGCAGTAACACTTTTACTATTGCATTTATTTTGGCCTCTCAGATCATGTGTGCCTGTTTACCAGAAGGTGATGACAATACACAGAGGAGTGGAGATCCTGTCCACATGAAGTCAGACCAAATCAATTACATCAGCTGGAGCAATACCATCCTGTGATGTTACCCTATATTAGGCTGATAAGGGAGTAAGGCATATGGGTTTGCCTTCCAAGCCCAATTTAAAGTTCCCCGCCTGGGATCTCTCTCTGTTTTGTGCAGACTAAGCCTAGGATAGCTGTCCAATACCTCTCCTGAGCAGTCTTGTCACTGGTGCTCTTGATCATGGCTTGGATTCGGTCCAGTCTTTTTGCCTCTAGTTTCTTCTTTAACTCTTTAGTATCACTGCAGAGATGAAGATGTCATGAATGACAGGACCAACTCTTTCTATATATGAACAACTCATTTCTATAAACACATAGCTTGGAGAGCTTTTCATTCAAGAAAGGCAAATCTGGTAGCAAGGGAAATTTTAAGAAGAGATCTAAAATAAGACCCTTTGTTTATTGGATTTAAAAAGTTCCTTGCCCGAGGTGAGTGATCTCAGCTGTCTAGGACACAATACACACATACATTATATAGGGATTGTATCTTCTCTGAATGCTCTAATGCATTGCTACACTTGTTTTGTGAGAATATTGATAACAGTCACAGAAATTACTCAAAACCCTAAGTAAAAAGGAAGGCTTGGTATGATTATATGGGAAAGTTAAAAGAGGTTATTTGAGCCAAACAGGTATCCTTGAAAAAATTAAAATCCAGCCCATATGAAGGTAATAGAAAGGAGCATAACCTATCGCAGAAAAGATATGAAATGGAAATTAGGAAGGCTCAGGGAATTGAAGAGCAAATAGCAAAGACAAAAACAAATAACAGGAAATTCTTAAAGAATTTCAGAAATAGGAAACATGCAAATGAACTGATGGGTCTTGCAGACCCACTAGGGCACATTTTGCTCAAAAGCAAACATTCTCCAGGTCAAGATGGTATTCATCCAAGAAAGACAAAGACCCATTAGAAAGAAATGTCTGAGCTTGTCACTAAGGGTGTGTCTAAACGACACCCCTCCGTCGGGAGAGAGATGTAAATTAGACACATTGAAAGTGCAAATAAAGCGGGGATTTAAATAGCCCACACTTCATTTGCATAATCGCGTCCTGGCGCTGTTTCGAACAAGTGCCATTTCAAAACAAACAACGGTTTAGATGTGTTTTTTCCAACAACGGGGCAAAACGGTTTAGACGTGTTTTTTCCGACAACGGGGCAATTTTTCAAAAGATCCTGTAGATATAGCCTAAAATGTGCAATTTCCCATTAAACCCAGCTACTTTATCAGAGGTCTTGAGGATAACAAACATCATGCCCATCTTTTAATAATCACTGTGCTGATGTTAGAAATTAGAGGCCTGTGAGTTTTACTTTTGTTCTAGGAAAATTGCTTGGCAATTTTAGTTAAAATCAGAAATAGAGAACATCTAGATGTACATGGCTATTGCATAAGAAAATGGTTCCTTTCTAATATACTAAAACAAATTTTGTATGTCAACAAAATAGCAGATAAAGGAGAACTGGTTGGTATTATTTGCATTTTCAAAAAGCTTTAACAAAGTCACTCAAAAAGAGAGCTATAGAAATTATGTTGTCATAGGATAAGAGGGAAACAAATAAGAAACTAGCTAAGAGACAGAAATAACCAGAATAAATAGTTAATGATTAATTTTTTAAATATTAAGAATTGGGTGCCCCAATGTTCTGAAGTAGAACCAGCATTGTTTAATATATTTATTGTTGATCTGCAAAATATAGAGAACAGTTGGCAACATTTGCATGTGACTCAAAATTATGTATTAGGACTAAAATTACTAAAGAACTTCAGAGAGAGCAGATACAGTTTAGTGTTGAAAAATGTGAGATAATGCACAGTGGAAGTCATCAATTGATTTGTACATGTTGTTGAGTTCTAACCAGTGTTCCCTTTAATTTTTTATGTCCACGTGTGGAATTAATTTTGTTATGTGCACCAATATGGCAGGCATGTGTCCATATTGGGGCACATCACAAAACTCATTCCACATACACATGATATGTTGTGGGAGAGTGGGCCAAGGATTTAAGAGCCTGGATGAGGTTCCCAAGCAGAGGGTTGGAGTTGGGGGGTGAGGGCTCTAGGGTGGGGCTGGAGATGAGGGCTTTGGAGGGGGTGCAGGCTGTCCTGGGAAGAGACGACTACCTCTAGCCCTCTCTGACCACAGAATCTTGGGGTCCATAGCTGCAGCAGTGCCTGGCCAGTGAGGGGTACCACTCCATGGCCCTGGCATATCCAGGTGAAGCTAGGTGGGGGCCAGGGAAGTGGCACATCTCCCTCAGCCACAGTAGGTCAGTGCCAGAGATGGGCTGGGGCCAGGGAAGAGGTACCTCTTTCCTGGCTGCTGCAAGTCTGGTGCAGCTCTGCGCTGGGGCTGGTAGGCAGAGGCACCTCTTCCTTGGCTGCCACACCTCTGCATCAGGACTAGCGTGCAGAGGTACATGGCAGTTCAGCGCTGGCACCAGCAGATAGAGGCACCTCTCTCCTCATCACAGCAGACTGGAGTTTGGGAAGAAGCGTCTATCACCACCACAGCCCTGAGCCCCTGCACAAGGCTTAATAAGTAGCTGCATGGCTGCTCAGCTTAGCGAGAACTTAGGTTCTAACTTAACCATTACCACTCATGAAAAAGATCTGGATGTATTTCTGTGAAACTGAAAGGCAGTCAATTTAAACTTGGTAAATGAAAACACTTTCTACATAACATAATTATTAACCTATGGAATTCATTTCTACAAGAGACTATCTGAGCCAAGAACTTAGTAGTAGTCAGACATTTATATTGACAATGCAAATAGCTTCATTTCATTGAATAGGATAAAACAGAAGGTATATAAATCTTCATGTGACAGGACACAAGCCAACCATTGACTGTCTGAGGTAGGAAGTGATTTCTCCTCTGAGCATCTTACTCTGTAAATTCAGATCCCAAGGCTAGAAGGGAATATTATGATCATGTAGTCTGATGTCCTGTATTACTCAGGCCAGAGAACATCTTAAGATAATTCATTTTGAAGTGTAGCAGGTCTCTAAAAAGAATATGCAAGCTTGATTTAATAATTGCGAATAATGGAGAATCTACCACAATCCTTGGTTGTTTGTAACTCTGAAAACAGCAAGTAGTCCTATGGTGCCTAGAAGGGAATATTATGATCATGTAGTCTGATGTCCTGTATTACTCAGGCCAGAGAACATCTTAAGATAATTCATTTTGAAGTGTAGCAGGTCTCTAAAAAGAATATGCAAGCTTGATTTAATAATTGCGAATAATGGAGAATCTACCACAATCCTTGGTTGTTTGTAACTCTGAAAACAGCAAGTAGTCCTATGGTGCTTTTGCACCTAACAATTAATTTTATATATATATATATATATATATATATATATT